GATTAGATTCATAGATGATCGATGTCTATAAAAGTTATTCCCCTGGATTTAAAAACTGAAAGCATATATATACAAATTGGCATATTCATAAAATGGAACTGAGTTGAGTTGTTCAGCACCAATCAATGTTATTTGATTCAAAGATATTATTGATTATGAAAAAGCTGGCACTATTATGTAAGAATTAAAAAATGAAAAACTGAGAAATGATAGATCTTGTGCATGCACATATATATAATGAAAAAGCATGAAGGTTGCAGCATTAACATTGTATAATTGTATATAATTAAACTGTTGTTTTAAAAACTAAAATAAAATAAAAGAAGTAGAAGAAGAAAGCTTCTGCATCGAATAAAATCATTATGGAGTAGGAATATTGTGATATCTCAAAGATTTTGCTTTTCTTTGTTGATCCAGTTGGTTGCACTCTCAGACGCCACCAGCATTTTCCCAAAGCATTAAGAAGCTACTTTCGAGTTTCAAGTGCTCTGTTAAAGTACCCTACTACCCACCTCCCTGTTCTTTTCCCCTGTATTCCTTACGGGCATATTTAAATAATGAAAAAAGAAACATACAGTAAACTCTACGCACACTGCAAGTTTTATAATTATTATTATTCAAGAATAAACCCTGACATTAAGGTGCTTTTCCTTTTATTAATTAATGGCAAAACAACAACTTCTTTAAGTGCATGGGTTTTTTGTTTTCTTTTTTCCCGATTAACAGTCGAAACAATTTCTTATTGTAGAAGTTAAGGTTGACCAAACAGGTTGTGATGTAGTTAAGCCCTAACTGTCCCACTAATTAGCTTAATTAGTCAGATAAGATATCTTGCAATTTTTCTAAATAAGATTGCTAGAACTTCATTTTCATGTTCAGTGAAAATTTCATAAATCGACTTAATTTCGTTATGCTATTTGTTGCATTGGTTCATCATAGGCTAAAAAGGTGTAAATCTCCAATAATTTTTCCAATGCTAAAATCCTGTCTTTCTCTTTCTGTCGGACTTAGAATTAATTGATCATCCTCAGAAAAACGAAAGGCAGATAATAATGTGATAATTAATTTACACATGTAAAGTTTGAACAATTAGACTATTAAAACTTTTCAACTTGAGAAGATCTAACAGTGTGAACCGGACAACAAACATTAATAAAAGATCATATCATGATTCTAGAAAAAAATAAAACTCTAACTGGAGATCGAATTGGCGGAGCAAATTAATCATGGTTACCCCGTTAGCCATTCAACACTCGTCCTGCTCCCACCTAACTCATTTGACTTGAAAAGGTCACAAAAATTAGAGAGTCGTGCTATAGAACAACACATGCACTTTATTCATCAGTTTATAATTGGAGCAAAACACCAAATAAACACTCCATTTAACTAGGCTTTTAAATTAAATAGCCTCTTTCCTTCGGATATATATCCTTTTATATATAGGTACTAATTCTAGTAAATTATGCAAATAATTAACACAATTGACGTGCTCAAATTGGCTGCGTATTTCCCTAATTAAGTGAGTTTTTCGGGTAATCTATCTCTCTCAACACGGTGGCAGGCATCTTCTGAAAGATTCGAATTATGCCTCATTTGTTGATCAAATATATACCATACAGCCATGTTTGTTGGTATATATTGGTTTGGTGAGGTAATGGAAAGATTATGAAGCTTAATTATTTATAATTAAACTAATGGCAGCCATCTAGGTGAGGGGGAAGCTTCCTTGAAGCTTTTGGGGTTCCCCTACTAGGCAACAACAAGAATAGGTATATTTGATTTGGCTATGGCTCTTTATAATATTCAAAGGTCTAAGAGGATATGAGAATTGCTTTTTGTTTTTTTAGTAAGTAAAGATTAAAGGATTATTTTTTTATATTAATTTTTTAGTATCCGAAAACTATGTTAAATTCAAATTAATTTAAAATCAAATAACGTCGAATCTCATAAAAAAAAAAAAAAAAAACTCTCTCAATTTTTATTTTTCCATTCATAAGATTCGAATTTAAAGTTTTACTTTAGTTTTACTTTAATAAAATCAAGTTTCTTCCATTTTAACCAATAAGTCATTGATGAGAATGAATTTTTTATTTTTGATTAAAAATATAGATAATTTTATTATTAAATCACATGGTTAATAATAAAAATTAATTACTTTTTTGTTTGATATTTCAAATACCTATTACCCATAATCAAGCCATAAACTTTTTTTTTTTTTTTATTCACAGGAGAAGTAATTAATATTCTAACATGTCCAAGGTTCTTAAACAACTTTGCTTAACCCGGAAGAATATAACGACGCTACTTTATTTTAAACCAAAATTGTACAGTTGTACTGTCTTAAAGTGCTTGGATCGCATGCATGATTGTGGAATCTGTAGTTTTGTTCGAAGGAAAAGATTCCCAGAATTCTCCCCTGTTTTCTTTGGTGCCTCTCGCAAAAAGAATATAAAAGATTTGGTCCATTATGATTCATGAAGAAAATGGTGGAGGATATATTACGGCACATATACCTGGTAGCATCCGCGAATTATGATTTTTTTTTTCTAAAAATGCTATTTTTTTTCTATGGTCAATACAATAATTGGACTCCTATTTTTTTTTCTTATAATATTTTGAGTTGCGAATTAGGAGACAATACTCTTATTTATTTATTTTATTAAGCTTTTGATATTTAATAATTACATTAAATTTTAATTAATTTCAAATCGAGTCACATCGGATCCCATAAAAAAAAACTTTCTAACATTTTTTATTTTTTCATTTATAAGATTTGAACTCAAAATTTTATTTAAGAAAAATCGAATTTTTTTTCATTTAAATTAATAAATCGTTAATATATTTATTAACTTATTTAAGTTGATTTCAGGCTACTTAAATTCAAATTTCAAATTCCTTTATTATTATCATAAGAAGATTTCAACTTAGTATTGTTTTCAAAAGTAAACGCCATTTTTTATATGGTCAACACAATAATTAGACCATATTTAAAGTTTAATCCCTTGGTCAAAAAAATTACTTTTCTTGTGAGGGTCGATTATTGCAAATGTTCAAGTTCTAACATTTGACTGTGTGTGGTGTTGGTCTTCTTGGTCTTGGACGTCGTTCAAATAT